TATCTTTTTTCCTACTCTTCATCTCTCCTTTATTTCTTTCAGGGAATATAATTATTATTGCTATTATTAAACCTGTAAATACCTTCCCAGAACAGATTTTTTTTTTTGTAAATCAGTCTAAATATCCTTTATCTTACTTTATTACATGTAAAAATTTTCTAGATAATTATTAATGTAATTTAAATGATTTTCCATTGACAACATTTGCTTTAAACAATTGATCATTGTAAGTGAAATCTCTGATATCAGATGCGCCAAGTTTTAATTTGAATATAGTTGCTGGCCATTGCATTTGAATAATAACTTGGTGTATTTGAAGTGATAAGATCAAAAGTCGTTTGTTGGAAAATACAGGAAAAAGGTCGGGTGATTGCAATCAAATACCATATTTCAATGGAAGTATTTGTTTTTAATGGACACTGTGAAATCTCACATCAGCAAGGAAATTAAGGAATTCATGACAAAACTAGCAACTAATGTACCATATATTTGTGGAGGTATAACCACAATTTTTCATCCTCTGGACACTCACTTATACAAACCTCTGAAAGATCACTGGTGAGTGAAATGGGAAGACTGGATTTCTGGTGATGAACATGAGTATTCATGTATTTGCCTAGTTTGGTGTAAAACTGAACAAGACGGCGATAGTTGTGAAGAAACCTTTCGAACTTTCTGTTTTGAGTTTGTGTATAGTTGAATGTGACGGAAGTAGTAATGGAAAGCTGAAAACACATAATACACGACATATCTTAAAAAATGTCAGTTTATAAAAGGACTGGCAATTACTGTGTAGTGGTATTACAAAAATGTGTAATATTAATAGCAGCAAGCAATCAGTAGCACTGTGACTCTTTCAAAGCAAAGCCATGCATGAGAGAAATAGAATCTCTCGCTTGCAGGACAGAAAATCTCACCATCTCAGATACCTGGTACTGACTTTTATCCTTGTCTGACGTTCTCACTTTAAACTGCATTTATGCACTAGCTCTTTAGCTCATTTTTGGTGTGAGTACAAATATACAGGTAACCCCCGTATAACATGGTAGTTACGTTCCAAAAAATTGCCGTGTTATGCGAATCCGTGTTGTACAAAACAAAGAACTAGTATGAAAAGGATGGTTAGCTTCCAAAAATTAAAAAACATGCTAGTATATTTTCATAATTAAGATAAATATCTTTATTAAAATATTCTTAAGTGATACATATTAATATAAATTAAACAATGTTTTCTTTGTCATCACTAAAAACACTATTAATTAACCGAGAGCGTTTTCTTTTTGGCAAGTTATCGTTATCCTCTGAGCATTTTTCTACCTTATTTTCAGATTCATGCTTTACCTTTTGCAAAAAGTGTGTGTAATTTTAGATTGCTTGCTTCTAGTTAAAACATCTTTATAAATTTCCTTATTTGGTGCTAAGCACTTATGGAATAAGGGAAAAACATCTGGCAACCCCAGAAGCAGAAGTGTCGAGATCTGGCAAAATTGAAACAATTTTCACGAAGGACCATCCGTACGTTTCTATATTCAACGGTTGACTCAACGGTGAAAGAACGACGTTTCTAAATGGAACGTTGAGTTCTCCGTTGAGAGTAGTGACGTCAGCGCTGTTTCACCGTTGAGCTCAACGGTCTCAACGACCTGAAAGACCGTTGAGTATTCAACAAACTAACATGGCGGCTTCCATGAAAAAGTAAATTCCTCTTATAGAAATCCATTCGCTCCTGTGGATGCTGTAATAGCGGACAGATTAATGAACGTGCAATCATATGTATATGATAAAACATATGATTGCACGATTGTTGGATAATTTGGTAAATATTGAAATATTAAGATTTTTTCATTTGTTCAAAATTGATTATGACCGATATTTGGCCCTTCTAAGTCTTTCTAATGATATAGCCTAAATATTCAGGAAAGTAATTAAAATTATTAAAGAAAGACCCAGTAAACAAGAAAATGATACAGATATGGGTTCATTTGAATAAAAGGATTTATTCGAATAATGGTTAAGCGAGTTACTTTAATTATTTAGCAGAACAGCCACAATCGCCACCTTCTCGTTACTTAAGTCAGCCATCTTGAAAAGCGACCTCTCAACGAAAGCGTTTCTTTTTTCTGCAAAATGTGACGTCAGACCGTTCAACAGAGGAACTCAACGGAAAATTCACTGTTGAGTCAACTGTTGAATATAGAAACGTACTGCATGTGTATGGAGACGAGAAAAGAAAATTTACACACTGAAGTACTAATAGTTCATGAAAATTATTATTTTCGTGAACTATTAGTACTTAAGTATGTAAAAATTTATTACATTTCATGTTGTACGAGGGTTTTACCCATTTCTCGAACCGTGTCAGAGTGAATCCGTGCTATAAAAGTACCATGTTATACGGGGGATGGTACCAATTCTCGAACCATGTTAGAGTGAATCCGTGCTATAGAAGTGCCGTGTTATACGGGGGTTACCTGTATATATAATAATTTCAAGAAAGTATGTTTGATATACATATTAAATATATATCAAATATGCTTTCTTCAGCATATATATGGGTGAGGAGACAGTGATTGAAGTTTCCATACAAAGAAATTTTAGTTCTATTAGTGATTAAAATATCACTGAAATAGAAATAATAAATTTTATCATCAATAGGTGGAAGTGAGAGATTCCACTACCCCATAATGCTTTTCACTTTGTTGTTGTACATAGCAAATGAAATATTGAATAGCAAATGAAAACTTGCATTATACTAACAGGTTGTAGAGTGGTTATGGCTTAGAGATCAATGATGATAATATTTATCTTCTTTCAAGCAGAATGGGGTTTACAAAAGACTGTACAGAGGAAGTTTGCCAATCAAAATTACTTGTACATTCACTCCTAAAGTGTAAAAAGAATAGTCTCCAATTGTAAAACCATCTCTAAAGCAATCAACTATGATTTATGGAGTGTAATCTCTTAAGATTGAAGTCAACATTGATGGTATATTTGGCATCTCAAATTAGATTGAAATAGGTACTGGTATGTTTGTCATAATATCATCTGTATAAAGTTTGTGGTAATTATTGGTGTTCATGCTATTGTTGAAGAGCTATGGTAATGTTCTTCAATAAACACAGTTGTTGTAAATTGTCGTTCAATATTTTAAATTGTTAAGGTTTTTTTTATTCATATACAATGGCCAGATGTTAAGTCAAGCAAATATGGTATGTATGACATAGTACATGCTGCAGTTTATTAAATGTGGTGAAAAGAACAATTTATTATTTTATGTGATGCTTGATTTTTGCCTAGTTCAACCTATTTAGAATAATTCTTTAGTTTTTAGATGTAGAGCATTCTAGAAAACTTTTACTCTTGTCAAAATACATCGTAAATTTTGATGTTTTCATGTTTTCATTGTGATAATTTTCTAGGAATTTTTATTTAACTATGAGAATTAGGTATATTAATTCTAAATGTTCATAATTTATATTATTATTAATTTAAACTTTAATAATAAAACTAAGAAATAAACAACAAAAATATATAGAAGCTTTTATCATAACAATTGAAAATTACATGTATATATTGATTGATAGATTCAGTATTTAATAATATGATTATCCTACAGCTGTACATCTACCTCTTTAATTAAACTGCTTTTTATTGGTGGAACATTGTTTTTATGACAACTATGTTCAGCAGGAATGTGGAGTCTGTATGCAAAAGCTCCAGCTTGGACACATTGGTTTGATTCCTCTGACTTCAATTAATTTTTTTACATATCAATATACGATATAAATAATAATTATTCTAATTATATTTTTTGCATGCAATATAAAAGACACAACTTTCAATATATCAGACTATTTTTTAGTATCATAACCTGTTAAANTGTTTTGAGTCTCTTATAAATCAGAATGTGTATAGTCTTGTGCAATTTTATCTATCACAGGCTTTGCTGTATTACATTTATCTCTTATGGAAAAGTTTTTATTTTGTGAAATATTATTTATTATATTTTTTAAACATTATTTTAAAAATATATTGTATCTAGCATTTTAAAACTGTTAGAGTATTCAACATTTTTTTGTTTTTAAGCCAATTAAGCTTGAGATCATTTTATATTTTAAACAATTTAATAAATAAACATAATTAGAATAATAGATTTATATCATAAATATATATTTAAAAATCTATAAATTGTAATATTTTGAAAGCTGAGATAGCTCATAAAATATTTTAATATAATTTTACTTATTGAAATTTTCTAGGATCAAATGATGAACTTGTTAATGTATTTGCCCATATGGGATGGAAAAATGCCAATGCCAGCTATTTTAAAACCAAAACCGTTATGGACTGGGAAGCAGTTATTCTCATTAATAATTCCGGGTAATGTCAATCTTATTCGTACCCACAGCACTCATCCCGATGATGAAGACGATGGCCCTTACAAATGGATTTCTCCTGGTGATACAAAGGTCAGTACAATATTTTATTTTTAGTATTAAGTTTATAATAGTTTATATTTGGTAGCTATAACATCAACATAATTGAATATAATTTTTTATTTATTAATTACAAGATTAATATATTTTTATAAAAATTAATTAATGCCAAGGATAAGGAATTTAGGAATTGTTAAATGTAAAACTTGCTTATCAATCTATTTTTACAATACTCATGGATGTAGCTGCTAGGGGTGGCATTTCCCACACCAATATGCTTTTATTTTATTGAACATTGTCATGGGTAAAACTGATTTTGCATATGATATATAAGGAGCTGCCATATCAGTATGGTGCAATTTGTTGCTAGCTCTACTGGTTCTTCTCCAAATATCATATTAATGTTATGGTTGCTTCTGCTGTGTTATGTTGAAGTTTAAACTGTTGTGTAAGGAAGTTAACTGAATTTGATTCTGATACATTGCTCATTTTAAAATATATTTCATATAGGTTTAAATCAACTTCAGAAAATAAATGAAGCTTGCAGTCTGTTGTACCATATCTGATGAAGAATGCTACACATTAGGAATGGACCCAAAACACGCTCGTCCCGATTGGATGATAATTACAGTATTACCTGTACCTCCTCTCCCTGTCAGACCTGCAGTTGTAATGTTTGGTTCTGCTCGAAATCAAGTAAGTGTTTCTTCTTACTATTTTATTAATGAAATGAAAAATTAAAAATTATCTAGAGTAGAAAATTATTCACTTTTGTAAGTTAATTTAGAATTTTAAATGTCTTCCTCATTACGGAAACTTTTTATAATAATACTTGTTTCTCTTACGTTATAAAAATATTCATCTATGTATTCCAGGATGATTTAACTCACAAACTTGCAGACATTGTTAAAGCTAATAATGAGTTGATTCGCAATGAACAAAATGGAGCAGCTGCACATATTATAGCAGAAAATATAAGGATGTTACAATTTCACGTTGCTACTTTAATTGACAATGAATTGCCAAATTTACCGAAAGTAAGTTTTAAATTTTAATTTGAGGATTATATCATTATAACAGTTATTTACAATAATTTTGTATTTGTGATAAATATAGTATATAAAAGATTTCATTTCATCTAAAGTGTAAAAATTCTAAATGAATTAAAAATAATTTTTAATAAAATTAATAAGCTATAAGTTTCGTTAAATAGAACGCTGTGTATTTTGTTTCAAAACTTAGTGATTTAACACATTATCAAAGTATAAATCAATGTTTTTCTTCAAAGTTTAAGCCAAAATGAGTCTGAGATTGGATAATATTTAAAAATATAAACAAATTGCTCTTACTTGGAATCAATTTGGATTAATTTAGACTAAGATCCGAATTAAACCAAACTGATTACAACTGGAGATGGAATTATTTGAATGCAAGAATTGGTAACTGTATGATGCAGAAGTTTTCACTGTATCCAAAAAACTTGTGCTAGGTGTTTGAATAGTTTTTATATGAGATTCCTATGAACTCGATATACAGCAAACAAACCAGTTAGAGTACTAAAAATCAGTCAGGAATTCTGATCAAATAACAGTAACACAGAGCTATTGAGAGCTTGTATGGGTTAGAGTAGGCCCTTCTTTTTTCCCCACTCTGTTCCAAAGAATTTTTTTCATGCAGGCAGGTTTCCATTTTTATATCTGTAATCTTATAATTTTTATTTAAATTGATGATTGCTACATGCCTCCTTTTCTCAAGATGTACATTATGATTTAGTCTGTTTGTTTTTTTTTAAAATAATTATAACTAATGAAATATCTATTTTTGGATAGGCAATGCAAAAATCAGGACGTCCATTAAAATCAATTAAGCAACGATTGAAGAGTAAAGAAGGAAGAATCAGAGGAAATTTAATGGGAAAACGTGTAGATTTTTCTGCTAGAACAGTTATTACTCCTGACCCTAATTTAAGAATTGATGAAGTAGGAGTTCCAAGATCAATAGCACAGAATTTAACGTTTCCAGAGATTGTAACACCTTTTAATATTGACAAGTAAGCCTATGCAATAATCATTTATAATTATGTAAACATTCTCAATTAACATGAAGTATTAATTGATTAACTATAACAATTAAATAATAATAAATTTTAAATTTATTCATTTGTATTTGGTTTTTTTTTATTAAAAATTAAGAATGCATGAATTAGTTAGAAGAGGAAATAATCAATATCCAGGAGCTAAATATATCATTCGTGACAATGGTGAAAGAATTGATTTAAGATTTCATCCTAAAGCAAGTGATCTTCATCTTCAATGTGGTTACAGAGTATGTATAATATATCTTTTAGTAAAATATGTTTTTAAGTAAAAATATTATTCATATATTTAGATGTGTGAAATTTAAATGAGTATAATAGAAACTGTAAGATTTCATGCTTCATCTTTTAAGTATGGATCCAAGACAGGGAGTGGTCGATCGTAATTCACGCTGTCAGACTTGTGCTGGGAACATGACAGATTGCCCGGGACATTTTGGGCATATTGAACTTGCCAGACCAGTATTTCATGTTGGTTTCTTATCCAAGAAAATCATCAAAATTTTACGTTGTGTGTGTTTTTACTGTTCAAAGCTGCTTGTCTCACCGGTAAGTATTTGTTATTTGGTAAAAGTAAATATATTTAAAAAAAGCAAACTTAAAAAATTGACTAAAAATTTCACAAAAACTGGAAAATATATCTCTAGAAGACGTGCTGATAGCCATTATAAATTCCAGCAAATGTTTGATGAAAATTGATTGTTTTTGTTCTCATTAAAACATTTGCTGAAACTTATAGTTGTCTACGTGTCTTTTTAAAAATTTTAAAGAGATTCGAATGAATGATTCAGCCTTAATTCTTGAAATTAATACTGTCGAAGTAATTAAAATGAACTTATGATTTTTAAGCATATTTTATTTTAATTATTCAATTATACACAGCTAATTATATGCTAAAAATACAGTGTGTTTTTATAATTAACTCTTTTAATTTCAAAGTTCTTTGTACCTACTATAAAAGTCTTCTGTCAAAATAATTTAATCTGAGCTATGAAAATCTATAAAGAAAGAAAAAAAATGAAAATTCAATCATATATATTTAAAAGTGTTGAAGTGGAAAATAATTTAATATAAATTAGTTAATTCATTATAACTATTGCTAATAAACGCTACAAATCAATAATTTTTTATTTGAGAAATGCTTTTTGTGAAGTTTTTATTTAAAAAAAATTAGATCTGATTACACAAATAATAATGCCAAAATGAAATCACATAGAAAAATATGATTTTTACAGTCTAACCCGAAAATTAAAGATATTATTGCAAAGTCTAAGGGACAAGCTAGAAGACGTCTTGCACATGTTTATGATTTATGCAAAGGTAAAAACATCTGCGAAGGTGGTGATGAAATTGATACAAAAATGAATGAGGACAAACAAGGAGAGGAATCAGCTAAAAGAATTGTATGTGTAATTTGCATATTTTCTAATTTTTTTTGTTGTTGTAAATATTAAAAATTTTGATAAAAGTTCATTAAATTTTGTTTAAAATTAATTCGTTAATTTAATGATAAATTTTAGGGCCATNATCTTTTAAGAATGATTAAAGACATGTTAAGACAAAATTACATAATATTAAATATTTTGTTTGATTATTGATTATTCAAGTTATGAATACTTTCAAATAAATTTCTCCTGTTTAGTTTATAATTTGTTTAATAGGAATTTTTAGTTTACATTTTGCTTTTGTTTTGACACACAGTTTATAAAACTTTTATATATTGTTTTAACTTAAAAATAGAATGTACTTAATGTGGAAATTAGATTTCTTTCAGATGAAAGTGTTTAAAAGATAAACAAAATTGATATTTGAAAATATAATTTTTATAAGAATTTACCATACAACAATTAAATTTAAATAATTTATATATCAAATTAAAATAATCCTTAAACAGTCTGTCTGAAGTAATCCACCTATCACTTTATCTGCATTGTGGATATGGTCATGTTTTAGCTTAAGTCTTAAAATTGTATGAAAGTTTTTATAAATTAAATGATTTTAATGATTGGAGGATAAAAATTATGAACGTAATAAAAACATCTACTTACAGACCTCAATATTTTTTTAACATCTATTCTATGTTCAGAAAAATTGTTTATATAAATTTGGCTGATATGTTAATTATTGTATTGCTTCCATAAGAGAAACAAAAAATTTTTAATAATAAATTAATAGGAATAAAGTTACAAATATTAAGAGAATCACTACTATACTATAAATAAAAAACAAAAATAGTGTTTTTGTTTTTTGTTTTTACAATTCATCACAGTTTGATAATTGTTATAGACAGTTAGACTTTAGTAAAGCATTGAAATCAAATTATATATCAGAGTTAAACTATATTAAAGTATTTTACTTTTTTTACAGGTTGAAAGACATGTTCGTAATGGAGATGTCATTATTTTTAACAGACAGCCAACTCTACATAAAATGTCTATGATGGGTCACAGAATTAGAGTATTACCATGGTCAACATTTCGATTAAATCTTAGGTATGATGTATATTTAATTAAACATTAAAAAAAAAGAAGATTGAATAAGTTGAAGTAATGCTGGTATTTAAAATGAATGTGGTTTGAATTATTTGGCATGTATCTGATAACATTGTCTTTCATTTTTATCAATTTTTTCTTTTGATTGTCTGGCTCATTTTAAATGTTCATTTCTCCAGATTTGAATTTTTTTTTGTTATCTCTACTGGTTCTTCTCCAAATATCATATTAATGTTATGGTTGCTTCTGCTGTGTTATGTTGAAGTTTAAACTGTTGTGTAAGGAAGTTAACTGAATTTGATTCTGATACATTGCTCATTTTAAAATATATTTCATATAGGTTTAAATCAACTTCAGAAAATAAATGAAGCTTGCAGTCTGTTGTACCTATAAATGTTATTAATAACATAAATTATTATTTTAATTTATAAAAAATAAATCATATCACTCTACAAAACCTCTATTTTATGTGCAAAACAACCTCATTTATTAATCTAATTTTTTTGTGTTTGTTTGTTTGTTGTGATTAGTTGTGATAATGTGAATGAATGTTTAGTAATTTGCATAGCTAATAAATAATTTGACCATTTGTTTTATTTTCTTGATAGAAGATCCTGTCTTCATTTTTAAACTTTTTTCCAAATGTTTGAAATTTTTAAGCACACATCATTCTAGAATGCCTTCTTGTAGGTTTAAACCATCTACTTTCATATTTCTATTTTATAATTCCTATTTATTATTTGTTTCTAATATTTGGAAACAATTTTTCATATACTAATTATACTACTTGTTTAGCTTCCACTTTTGCACAGCGCAACTTTTTAATTATTTTTGGATGAGAGGTGTACTCTTCCCTGTTTTAGCATCATTATTGTGCTCCTTTAATTTAGTACATAGTGCTAGTATGTTACGTAACTCTTAGTATGTTTTACATATATTTTCATTTCTTTTGTTTTTTTCTATTAAAGATAGCTGATACATGCTGTTTGTCCATTTCATCCTTCTTCTCCTTTTCAATTCTTATGAAATTATGTGTTAAAAAAGAAAAACACTTCATTCTTTTCCCTATAATTTTGTCAAGTCTCTTGTATTAATTTTTATAAAATAATATCTTCATGCAGTTACATAAAGTTAAAAGAATATTATGTATGTATATGTAACCATAATGTGAATAATCATTATTATATTCTTTTTTAGTGTAACAACACCTTATAATGCAGATTTTGATGGAGACGAAATGAATCTTCATGTTCCACAGTCATTAGAAACAAGAGCAGAAGTTGAAGAATTAGCTTTGGTACCTAGACAAATCATTACTCCACAATCTAATAAACCTGTAATGGGAATTGTACAGGATACACTGACAGCTGTCAGGAAAATGACAAAAAGAGATGTGTTTCTAGAAAAGGTAAACTATTTATATACTTTTCAGTCATATATTGATTATTTTAGTAATGTCCGATTTGAATTTGGTATTATAGTAGTTAATGATATTGCTTTAAAATATTTAATCAAAAAGTTAATGTAGATGAATTAATTATATACAGATTTATTAAAATAAAATACAAAAAGTACTGTGTTTTTCTTGTAGGTCAGAAGAGTTTCACTAAGTTGATGAGTAGGCTAGTTTAGGTTCTTAATTTGTTTGAAAATAATATATTGTTAAATTAGAAAATCAGAAAAAGCTTTCAAAATTTTGTATCTTTAGCTGCTGTTTTTATTTTATGGAATCAAATGTTTTGAGAAGTCTTAATTAAAATATTTTAGCATTTACCTGAAATAGTATTCTGTAAGTTTATGTTGTTGCATTTCAAAAGTAAAAATATAGTAAACTGCCTACTTTGTGATTGATTGTTTTGAGTCTCTTATAAATCAGAATGTGTATAGTCTTGTGCAATTTTATCTATCACAGGCTTTGCTGTATTACATTTATCTCTTATGGAAAAGTTTTTATTTTGTGAAATATTATTTATTATATTTTTTAAACATTATTTTAAAAATATATTGTATCTAGCATTTTAAAACTGTTAGAGTATTCAACATTTTTTTGTTTTTAAGCCAATTAAGCTTGAGATCATTTTATATTTTAAACAATTTAATAAATAAACATAATTAGAATAATAGATTTATATCATAAATATATATTTAAAAATCTATAAATTGTAATATTTTGAAAGCTGAGATAGCTCATAAAATATTTTAATATAATTTTACTTATTGAAATTTTCTAGGATCAAATGATGAACTTGTTAATGTATTTGCCCATATGGGATGGAAAAATGCCAATGCCAGCTATTTTAAAACCAAAACCGTTATGGACTGGGAAGCAGTTATTCTCATTAATAATTCCGGGTAATGTCAATCTTATTCGTACCCACAGCACTCATCCCGATGATGAAGACGATGGCCCTTACAAATGGATTTCTCCTGGTGATACAAAGGTCAGTACAATATTTTATTTTTAGTATTAAGTTTATAATAGTTTATATTTGGTAGCTATAACATCAACATAATTGAATATAATTTTTTATTTATTAATTACAAGATTAATATATTTTTATAAAAATTAATTAATGCCAAGGATAAGGAATTTAGGAATTGTTAAATGTAAAACTTGCTTATCAATCTATTTTTACAATACTCATGGATGTAGCTGCTAGGGGTGGCATTTCCCACACCAATATGCTTTTATTTTATTGAACATTGTCATGGGTAAAACTGATTTTGCATATGATATATAAGGAGCTGCCATATCAGTATGGTGCAATTTGTTGCTAGTGATCGTGAGCTTTTGCATTTTTGCAGTAGCCTACTTTCTATGGTAAATCTATGCAAGCTTTCAGCCATGCAAATGACCTACATGCAGAAATTTCTTGCTACATCCCTGAATTTCAGGTTGTGATGTTATTTTTATTTGAATTTGTCAATCAGTATTCACAAATTTCTGACTATTTTTTTTTTTCATTTCAATAATAATATATACACTAAATTCCTATTTTTTTTAGTTCTCATCTTTAAATCACTGTCATCTCATAAGAAGTAGTTCCCTGATATATTAAATTTTTTATTTCCATAATACATAACAGAATATATTGTTAATCTATTCTGTTTTGTATTGTTTCATGAAAAACCTTACTATTATTATTTTTAAAAAATTTATACTATTTTTATTATTTACTTCTATTTTGTAAAAACACTCTAAAATTGTTTAGATCTATTACAAACTTTTAAAAATTTTTTACAGGTTTTAATTGAATATGGAGAATTAATAAGTGGAATTGTATGCAAGAAAACAGTAGGATCTGCGAGTGGTTCTTTGATGCATGTTGTTTTTGCAGAATTAGGATATGAGGTGGCAGGAGCATTCTATGGTCATATTCAAACTGTTGTAAATAATTGGCTTTTGTTAGAAGGTCATACAATTGGCATAGGTGATACTATTGCTGATCCTCAAACTTACGTGGAAATTCAGAATACAATTAAAAAAGCAAAGCAAGATGTGACTGATGTCATAGAAAAAGCTCATAATGATGAATTGGAACCAACACCTGGAAACACTTTACGACAGACTTTTGAAAATCAGGTTATTTTTAATAAATTGAATTTTTGAAGTCAAAATATTATTGTCAAATAAATGTTTAAAAGTTTGATAATGATTGTGATATTATTAAAACAGGTGAATCGTATTCTTAATGATGCTCGTGATAAAACTGGTGCAAGTGCACAGAAATCACTGTCAGAGTACAACAATTTTAAGGCTATGGTAGTATCTGGTGCTAAAGGATCTAAAATTAATATATCTCAAGTAAGTTTCTAATTTTAATTGCTTTTGAATTTAAGTATATTTAGATATATAATTGAAGTATAATTGCTGCTATTATATAATATATTCTACTTAATATTTTAATAATTTATTCCATTTTTCATTAAAATGAATTGTTCTGACTCCAGAAAAAAGCTATTTAATGATTTTTTAAATATTATTTATGCTAACAAATTAGTATTTAAGAATCTTTAGTTGTCATTGGTACTATGCAAAATATTTTAAATGGAATTAATTATCATAAAATTAAAAAATTTGATCATAAATTGCAGAGCACTAGGTCTTTTACAATTTCAAAATATCAGACATATTTATATTTCTAAATAACTATAATAATAAATATATTTTGCATATTATAAATTACTTAAAATTTATTTGGAATTATATTAATACTGTATTAAAGAATAATTTCTCAACTAAATTTGAAAACAAATTTATTTATGTTTAAATTACATTCATATCAGAGCAATTCTAATCATATGCCAAGTAAACATACGTTGCACAAATTTATTCATCATCCATGTCCGTGTTTACATAGTATTTTGTATAGATTTAAGTTTGCAGTTTAAATAATGATAAAACATCTTGTATTTTCTTATGTAAAGTTTTGAATTAATTTGGTAGAGTGAACTCAAAAGCTTATATTTTCATAGGTTATTGCATGTGTAGGGCAACAGAACGTAGAAGGTAAACGTATACCTTTTGGATTTCGCAAGCGTACCCTTCCACATTTTATCAAAGATGATAATGGTCCAGAAAGTAGAGGATTTGTTGAAAACTCATATTTAGCAGGTCTCACACCTTCGGAATTCTTTTTCCATGCTATGGGTGGAAGAGAAGGTCTTATAGATACTGCTGTAAAAACTGCCGAAACAGGTATTTTTTTTTATGCATTTATTTTATATATATAAATTTTACTGTATGTTATATTAAATGCATAAATGTGTTTTTTTTTTAAATAAAAAAGTTCTTATATGAAGCCAATGTTAGCATCTTTAGACTTAATAATTCTTATTTCAGTTTTAATATTTAAAATTAAAAATACTATTTTATTTAATAATATATTTTAGGTTACATTCAGAGACGTTTAATAAAAGCTATGGAAAGTGTAATGGCAACTTATGATGGAACTATAAGAAACAGTGTTGGTCAAGTGATTCANAATAATTCTTATTTCAGTTTTAATATTTAAAATTAAAAATACTATTTTATTTAATAATATATTTTAGGTTACATTCAGAGACGTTTAATAAAAGCTATGGAAAGTGTAATGGCAACTTATGATGGAACTATAAGAAACAGTGTTGGTCAAGTGATTCAGTTGAGATATGGTGAAGATGGATTGGATGGGTCGGCTGTTGAATTTCAGAGCCTTCCAACACTTAAACCTTCGGATAAGGCATTTGATAGCCGATTCAGATTTGATGCTACAAATGAAAGGTAAAATAAATTCACATTATCATTCAATAACAAACATGTACTGTACTTACATAATTTTTTTTAATTCTAAATTTGCTATTATATTATTATAGTTTTTAATTTGTACTAATATGAATACTGTGTATACATATAAAGAAATATTTATCCTTGTCTGTAAGATATATATAAACCATATATAAAATTTTCTATTTTGATCATATACAGTGAAACCTGCATTAAGTGAATGTTTATACTTAGCAGATAAACCTTTTGATACTAGTATAGTAATATAATTATTGGTGATTTTTTCTATCTTTTGTTAAGTGAACATTGCCTTCAGTGGATGACATAAAAATTTTCTACCCTTTCTATTTTCCAAAACATAAGTGGATAGTACAGTAAATTGCACATTTTCCATAAATATTATTTTAAACGTCTTTTTTTAATGCTTAGGTGTCATTGTTTTATGGACTTTGTGTCCATAAACTTGTCAGATGAAATTTTCATGTAGTACTCTTGACACTTCATACACCAGTAACAGCCTATTAATATTTGGTATCTCCATTGTATAAATGGAAATGAAACTCTACGAAGAACAGAATTTTGAAGAAGGAAAGGATAACATAAGTAGTTTAGCTGGATGGCTGAAGTAGTTATCCTTAACTATCTCAGCCATCCAGCATACATATTGTCTGGGGACCTAGGATCAAATCTGGGTGAGCTAAACCAGAAACTTTCATGAGTGATCTTTCCCAGATATATCAGTACTTTTCATCACCTAGCTGCATCACAGTAGGCCTGGTTGCAAGTAGTGTTTTTTTTTTCTAAAACTATCAAATTTTAGTTCCCACAAGACAAGGAATAAAAATTAGAATGAATCAAATGAATATCTTTTTGTGTTAGAAAGCTTAATTAGCATAATCCATAAAGTTGCCTGCCTGACTTGTAGAAACTGTGATTTTGAGTACCATTCCAGACTAGATCTTTCCTTCTGGCTTTCTATCAAAATTATTATTCAGCTTAATAATTTTTCATCTTTAAATTTTGAACATTTTGTACTGAGGAACTTAATAATGCTGTATAACACCAAGAGGAAATACTTACAAATATAAATGAAAGTTTTTTAAATAAGGAAATTCTTTATGGTTTATGGAGATTGTTTCAACCAAGCTTCATTATAAATAATCTTTTGTGTACTCACTTGTTCATTATTAATGGTAGATTTACTTCATATATAATTAAAAGTTTTTCTCTAATTCTGTTTTAAGTTGAAATTTAATAAATTTTAATATGTATATCTAATTTTGCATTTCTAGACATTTAAGACGTATTTTCACAGAAGATGTTGTCAGAGAAATGATGGGAAGTGCCACTGCTTTGAGTGAGTTAGAAAAAGAATGGGAAAGATTAGAAAAAGACAGGAGAGTTTTACGTACAATATTTCCTACTGGTGATAGTAAGGTATGCAAATTAATAGTGATCAAAGCTTACTTTAAATGATTTAATGCATATAATGTAATTTTGTATATATAAGTTTATACATACATATAAACTTATATATACACAAAATATATTAAATCATTTAATATAGTATTTAAGGAGTGAAAAGATCAATATTCTCAGAGGTAAAAAGATATTTTATTTTAATTAAGCAAAAAAGTTCATATAAACATGTGCACTATTTCTAATGGTTTCAGAGATTCTATCAGCAACATCTCAACCACATTTTTTCTAATTGGTGGATTGTCATGGTGGTGCCATTAACTGGTCACCAAGATCTTTGATATAACCCTGTTAGATTTTTGTTTATGGGATTGAATGAAGAATGAAATGTACTCAAGAAAGCTGAATACACAAGAACAACTGCTAGCTTGCATAATGGATACTGTCGCCCATATAAAAGAACATGCAAATACACTCAAACAAGCAACAGACCATCTTCTCATGAGTAGAAGAATGCATTGAAATTGACAGTGAAATTTTTGAAGTTGTAAACTGTTGAAATTTGTCAATTGAAAAATATTCAAATGGTTCTGTCTTGAAACTATTTGGGATAGTGCATATGTTTGTATTATATACAATGAATTCTTAAAAATCAGTTTATGACCTGTTAGTTTTAAGTATAATTAATATTTCCATATTTGATTACACTTATCATTCATCATATTCTCTAAAATATAGAGATTACAGGAATTTAAATTTAGTTTTAAGTATAAGTAATATAATATATTAAACCTTTAATGGTATTATATAATAAAGCTACTATGAAATATTTTACAAAATTTATTTGAAATTATATATATAATAATTATTTTTTATTTCTTAATATCCAATTACTAATTATCTTGATTGAAGCCATATTTAGCAAATATTTTACTAAATATAGAATTTTTAAAATGTAGCATGTATTCTTTTAAAAATAAACTTTACTGTTTTATTAAATCGTATTACACATAATTTTTATTAAAATCTAGTGTCTAATGGAAGTATCCCTTGTTTCTTTTTACATGTGGATTTAAAATCTAACATAGCAATCATTTAAGTCTAAAAGATTGACTTTATTTTATTTGCTTGATAACTTCACTCATGAAATTGAATATGCCATTTGTAGACTATGAACTATAGGGGTAAAGAAACTTCATATTTGATATTTATAAATAAATTCAGGAAATGAACTACATAAAAGAACTACTTTTATTTATTTTTTTTTGTAAATTTCATAAATTGAAAAATGATTGCATTTCTATAAAATGCATTCTGTTAAAAAGATATTTCCAAAAAGTTGAAACTTAACCATAATGTATTAATTTTTTGGTAAAATAATTTAATCAGTAATGTCCAATATTGATATCGTTAGATTGTAAAAATTGAGACTGACTGACTGACACTTTATTTTTGTTTGTAAATGACAAAATATTTGTAAACTGTTAAATAATGTATATTTTATATAATTTTTTTAGGTAGTGTTACCTTGTAATTTACAAAGAATGATATGGAATGCTCAGAAAATCTTTCATGTGAATTTAAGAGCTCCTACAGACCTGAGTCCATTGAGAGTTGTACAAGGTAATTTTTATTAAAGATTTCATATCAATTTTGTAAAATGTAATAACTATATAATTTTATTTTAAAATTTGGTAAATTTAGAAACAATGATATTAAAATTTAATAAATAGGGTTAATGCCAAGAATGTAGTAAGATATAACTTTTAAATTTTCAAATAATAATTTACAGGACTTGAAACTGAAATCATTATCAAACATCGCACATAATACAGAATGGTTACATTTATTCCAAGATTATACAAAGTATCTTCACTGGAATGACAAAATATGTCAGCATATTCTACAACACAGCATTCTTTATAAAACAAAGAGGGATGTAAAGAACTCGTTCAGTTATTTTACAACAAAAACACAAGTAATACAAAACCACCTTAACATGGTGTCAAATGCTTTATTTTATATGCTGTTTCTCATTTGTTTTGATACAAACAATGCACATTTACAAAAGAGATGCAATATTTATCACATTTTCTATGCACCATTGGTGAACAACAATATATCTTAAACTTCGTAACATATATCCATTAAAACAAATATACGAAAGATTAGGACTTTTTCAAGGACAACATTCCTGATATTAAGAGAAATATTAGAAATATATTACATAAAATTTCTAGAAATTTTAGACCTTAATCCCAACATTATTATTGCTCTCTTTAGTGTGATATAAAATGTGTTACACATTTATTATTATTGCTGTCATTAGAGGGAATATTTTAACATTTTACATATTGAGGTGGATGAGTAGCTTCTAAAGAAAGGTCAATTCTTCCACGGAACTGTTAATTCCTTTTTATTACACTTTTTATGTATTGTCTGTCTCGGAAATTTTTTATAAATTTTCTAATTTGAACTTAATTCTCTTGGCAACTTTTTTTTATCAAATTCAACTATGTTTATGATGATATATGATGCATTGACAAACAAAGCAGGTTTAGAAATGGGCAAAATGATATCCACAAGTGTACAACATTATGATATCAAAGATGTGTGCTAGATACAGCAAAATATTAGCTAATTGAAGGTCAGATAATTAAAACTTTATTTTTATAGACATCATAAATATCCAGAATGTGACTTCATTTTAATATATTTATTCATATGATTAATGTTCATAAACTCTGAATAAAATTTAATAATTTTAATTGCAAATTTAACTTGTTTTTATTATAAAATATAAGTTACTTTGCAATTTTTTTTTTTCAAAACTAAGAATTTTAATTTTCAGTGTATATATATATATAAATACATTTTGTAAATTTCTAGTCTTCAAAGTTGTTAACATTAATTTGATTTTCAAATAAATTTTTATATATGTATAATTTAAAACATTAGTTTATAACTGGAAATTATTTATTTATTTTTAGGTGTAGAAGAATTAGTCAAAAAATTAGTGGTTGTTCCTGGCGAAGACAGACTCAGTGTTCAGGCCAATGAAAATGCCACTTTACTCTTCCGTGCATTGTTACGTTCGACATTGTGTACAAAACGAGTTGCAGAAGAATTTCGTCTGTCTACTGAAGCATTCGAATGGCTGTTGGGTGAAATTGAAACAAGATTTCATCAAGCTCAAGTAAATATTCAATTTTGTTGTTAAAAATCAAATTGATTATTTTTATTCAAAATCTGTATATTTTTTTAAGGTACAACCAGGAGAAATGGTTGGAGCATTGGCAGCTCAATCTTTGGGAGAACCTGCCACTCAGATGACCCTAAATACTTTTCACTACGCTGGTGTCTCAGCTAAAAATGTAACTCTTGGTGTTCCTCGATTAAAAGAAATTATCAATATATCCAAGAAACCAAAAACTCCCTCTCTAACTGTTTTCTTGACGGGAGCTGCTGCAAGAGATGCTGAAAAGGCCAAGGTATCGTTGCTAACATATTTTAAATTAAGTGTGTAATTTTTAATCCATTATTTTTTGCAATTTGAGGAATGTGTGTGATATTAGTGTAATGAAAAATACCAAGTTGTACAAGGATATATTATAACGAGAATTTAATAGTTTTATTTTTTTTTAAAATATGAAATAATTTGTTATTTTTATGTTTGTATAAAATATCAAAAATTCATTGATTGAATTCTTAATAGTTATAATTAAAATAAATGAATTTTTTCAGGATGTATTGTGCCGTTTAGAACATACCACCTTACGTAAAGTCACAGCTAATACGGCTATTTATTATGATCCTGATCCTCAACACACCGTCATAGCTGAAGATCAAGAATTTGTAAATGTTTACTATGAAATGCCAGATTTTGACCCTCAGAGAATTTCACCGTGGCTGCTGCGTATTGAATTGGACCGTAAACGTATGACTGATAAAAAACTCACCATGGAACAGATTGCCGAAAAAATTAATGCTGGATTTGGAGATGATTTGAATTGTATCTTTAATGATGACAATGCTGAAAAACTAGTCTTGCGTATTCGAATAATGAATAGTGATGACAGTAAACTTCAAGAAGTAAAGTTTCGTTTTTATTCATATTAAACTGAAAGATTTTTGATGCATTGTAAAATTATTATTGTTTTTGTGTTTAGGAAGAAGATCAAGTAGACAAAATGGAAGATGATGTGTTTTTAAGATGTATTGAAGCTAATATGTTGAGTGATATGACTTTACAGGGTATTGAATCTATCACAAAGGTTTGTAAAAGTTATTATAGCTATATAGTTTTTAAATATTTAAAATTTTAATGTTTCAGTAAAATATAATAAAAATTTCAGTAAACTCATTTAAATTATAAATTTGATTTTAGAAGACTACAAAGTAAATAAATTATTTTCTGCACTGAATCTTTCATAAATTTGAAAGATTCAATTTATTTTAAATTTTAATTATTTTTTAGAGAATTTATTTAATTCTTTAATGTTCTAAGTTTAAGTTAAGCACATCCCATCCATTTTAGGCTTACATATTATCAATACGTATCAGTGTTAGTCTTTATTTTGTATATTTGGTATTACAGTATTAGTATTTATATATTTGATAGTGCTCACCTGTCATCACGTGTAATAAAATCCAATAGCGTTATTATTTGGACTGAAATTTATGTATGATTTAGAAGTCTAAAATGATGATAATTCTATACCTTTTTATATTGTAACTTAAAAGAAATTAGAAAATCATTTAAATAAAGTTTGGTAAAATAAAATTCATATAAATATCTTTCGTGTTTATTGTATTTTGTGTTAAAATCTAGCTTTTTCGTAAAATATTTAGAATTCCAAAGCTATTTTGGTATCTTTAAACAATAGATTGTTATCTTATCAATTTTGATTGCAAAGAAATTGTAGTTTTTCATTAAAAAAATTTTAAGATAAGATCACAAATGATATAATGTTTGAACTGCATGTATGATTTTTCTATAAAATGTTTTATTGTTTTGTAGACTGGAAATGTTATGAAAATCCATTTTGCTACTTATGTAAAGTTTCTCCAGTATATACATATAGGAGAATGTTTTAATATATAAATGGTACGGTACTTAGCCTTTTGTTATGGATACAATAAGTCTCATTTGTATTGTATCTTTATCTGTATCCTACAGTTTTGAGAATAATTCAATGTATAACGTCTTACCAGAAGAGCTCAAAATTACTGCTGCTTGGTTTGTTTGAAAATTTAACAAAGCGCTAATGATATGCGTATTTCAGTATATAGTGTTAGAAATGACAGTAGTTATAGATGACTTCAAAAATTTATATGCGCCAAAGAATGATTGTGACAACTTGAATTTAAAAGAGCATGCTTGTCTCAAAATGTTTTCAATAAAATCTTATACTTTAGTTTTTATATATTTTGCTAGATTAGTTTTTGGTCAATACTTTTTATTTGGATAGTTTTTTCTCAAATGCTTAAAAGAAATCTCCTGTAATACAATAATTTAATCCCAAACAAATGGTATTATTGGGAATCCTTAGAACAGATTTTGGGAATGGGATGTGTGTGCACATATTTGTTGCACTGTTTATATTTGGTAAAGCTTTTGGTTTATAATTTATACCTTTGTTAATGAATGTAATTATTATTAGTAAAAATGCAAATTATATTTAAATTCAGTCTGCTGTGAAAGGACCAGTGAACTTGTTTTACTTTTAACATTTCTAATAAATGTCTTCTGTCTATTCATGTGTTATAAAAATAAATTATTTTGCAGGTATATATGCATTTACCCACTACAGATAATAAAAAAAGAATTGTGATTACCGAAACGGGAGAATATAAAGCAATTGCCGAATGGTTACTGGAGACCGACGGTACCAGTCTGATGAGAGTTTTGAGTGAAAGGGATGTAGATCCAGTTCGGACTTATTCTAACGATATTTGTGAAATATTTTCGGTATGTCAAATTTACGTGCATACAGATGATAAATTTTGAAACTGGTTGTAAATTCTATATCTTGATTTTTAGGTTCTTGGCATAGAAGCTGTAAGAAAGGCAGTAGAAAAAGAAATGAACCACGTAATTTCATTTGATGGTTCGTATGTAAATTATAGACATTTGGCCCTTCTTTGTGATGTTATGACAGCAAAAGGTCATTTAATGGCTATAACACGTCACGGAATAAATAGACAAGACACTGGAGCTCTGATGCGCTGTTCATTTGAAGAAACTGTAAGTAATTTTCATATAAAAATTTCTTTTAATTGTGTTTAAAATTAATGAATTATATATAATCATTTCTGTGTAAGAAGTGTTTATAAATTTAATTATATTGTATATGAGCCAACTCATTTGCCAAATTTATTAACTCCACAAAACAAAGTGGAGAAATTGATAATACAAATATAAACATCTTTATGAAACCTGATGCATTACAATAAAGCTACAACTGTCCTATGACTGCCATAAATAACAGCTATAATAATCATAATTTAATTAAATAATTTTAGGTTAAACTGGAAGAAGAGAGTTGGCCTGGAGTGGGACTCATTATTTTTTAAAATTCCTTTTAACTGTAGGTTTAAATAAATTAAAAAATATAAAAATGATTATTTCAAGGATATACTATTGGAGTAAATTGATTTGGCCTGCGAATGGCTCATATTTACTAAAGGTAGTTTTTGCAGCAGTGTGATGATCTTCCAGTTCTGTCCAGTACTGCCGGAAGACATTAGGCCACACCGCTTGTCTTATATGACATGGAGGAGTTTTCTCAAGGTCACAATAAGCAACAGAATTGATTGTTGTGCCTCTTGGCATAAAATCCACTAACAAAGTCCTTTTCCTGTCCCTAAAGACAGTTACCATGATCTTTCGTGCTGAAATTGAATAACAGATGGTATCTTACAGTTGGCGGGCGACTCAATTTTCTTAAACATTATAAACTTCTACAGTTCAGCGCACACAGATGATACGGCTGCAAATGTCTTCTAAATATGCACAAAGCATGCTGAAAGCAGATGCTGATGCACACTGCTGCAATTGTGCATCATTCTCACTCTCATTCACAAACGGACCTTATTTAAAAAATAGCCCTCATAACAACAGATGATGTGGATAGNTAAAAAATAATAATAATTAAACAATTAGGTCGATTTATATTTATGCAACATCTAAAAATAGTAATTTGTTTTATTATTTGTGTAATAATTTTTTAAATTATTAATATTACATAATTTGGCCCGTAAATCGTATTTTGGCCACCGTTGCCCAAAATACGGTACACGAGCCGTTGGGGCCAAGTTTCCCAGGATTCCTTTCCGTTCTCTCTTTAAATCTCGTTTTTACTTGCGTAATTCGCAGCGACAGAACGCATTTTAACCAATGAAATAACCTCTTGCAAAAAGGAAAACGCGAAGTTACGATCTTCGGAAATCCTTCGAAATAAACAACGGAAGAATATCCGATCAAATTTATATCTTTACTCTTTAAAATTTAATTTAATAGGACAAGATTTCTGCCCTCTCGACGGACGGACGGACGATACCACGTCCCTAACGCCTATCGACTGGGAATATTAATGGCAGAGGTCCATTGTACACGGTTTTATTGTCACGCGGCCAACGATTTTATAGGCAAACTCTGGCGTACAGACATCCCGACGTTCTGGAATACTTACCTCGTTTCCTTCCTCCATACCCGAATTTTCTCCTCGCTCTATTTTCGCCATTGCATTGTATAAGAGAAAATCTCTGGGAGGATGGACCCGACGTCCAGGAAGAAGGTCCATGTCCGCACGCGCTCAGGCAACGTGGGGGGGGGGGGGAAAGAAGAACGAAAACGACCTTCGACCCGGTGGAAAGTCTCACCTCCCGGCAGTTTCTCGGCGCCGGGGAGGGACCGCTGGGTTCCGTAATTAGGAGGTGAGGTTGGCCGGATTCGGATCCAAACGAAAGGAAGGACTTGGCGCCACTTCCGGAGGAAGTCGAGGAAAATAATTTAAAAAAAAATCGGTCCGTTCTTCCGGTCGTACGTCATCCCGGAATCGTCCCTCCCCTCTGGTGTTTTGTAGAGAAGACTCCCGACGGGATAAAGGACGGCGCCAAACACAAAGAAGAGGGGGAGACGACGGTTGATGCGCGCCCCCCAGCGGGGAGTAGGACCCGGCCGCCGACGTTTCCGCTCGGAGAAGAACGGACGAGACGGACGTCGGTCGGTCGATCGGAGGGCGAATCGTCTCGCGCGCCACGCGGCCGCCGTCACGTATTCTTCGTCCCGACGCGCGCCAGGACGCGCCGAGGCGGCGCGGCCGGTGACCGGGCTGCGGCGCCCGAGGGACACGACCGGACGGGGAGAGGCGGGAGACCCGAGACCCGAGAAGCGCGCCGAACGGGAAGAGGTGGGAGGGTGGCCGAAATGATCCACGGCGCGAGTCGGGCGCGCGCGCTTCCGCGGCCGGGGAGGAAAGGGGCGGCGCGGCGCGGCGCGGGGACGGCGTGCCGCGGCGCCGGGGTAATCGAATCGGTCGACACCTATCTGTCGGTGGTCACGTAGGTGCGAAAGTAGGTTAGCGCCCGATGTCGGTCGGAACGGGAAGCGGACGAGCCGACTGGAGGAGGGGAGGAGAGGGGAAAGCCGGCCGGCGGACGAGGGGAAGAGAGGAGGGAGAGAGCGGGAGGTACCACCCCACTTGCCGCCGTCCCGCGGGTCGGCGGCCGGGGCGGGGAGCGCCCGGGGCCCGTGGGGCGGCCGGAGCCGGAAGAGCGGGGCGGGCGACCCGTTCCGCCCGCTGCATTGTGGGAGACGGCGGCGCTTCCCGCCTCGGGTAGAAGCGAGATCGCGTCCCGCGCCTCCGGCTGGGGTCGTCTCGGACGTCGTCCGGCGGCCATTGTCTGGGGCCGGGCGTCCGCCGACATGAGACTCTTCGCCGTTCCTCTTCTTCTGTCCGCCTGCGCCTGCTGCTCGGCCGTCCGCTGGTTGTAAGTACCCTAGTCTCGCGCTCTTATCGCTCCCTCCTCCTCTCGCGCCGGCCGCCGGGCGCCGGGCGGAGGAGGGCCCCTGCCAATGGCTCTTCGCCGCACTCCTCCCGGCGTAAACGGCCGGCCGGGAGGGTGGCCCCCCTGACCCCGCCTCTCTCGCAGGTCCCTGGCCGACGCCTCCTTCTCTTGGAACGACACTCGACGCTGCGTCCAGGCCAAGAACCGACGACGTCTGCACGCGTCGCAGGTCAAGTTCTGCAAGAGGCAGCTGGACTCCATGCCCTTCGCCTCCATGGCCGCCTACCGCGTGGCGCGAGAGTGCCACCAGGTCTTCTCCTCCGACAGATGGAACTGCTCTTCGGTCTCTCTTGCACCGAATCTGACCCCCGACCTCACCTCGGGTAAGTAAACTCCTCCCTTTACTCCTCGCGCCCTTCGCACGCGACGAAGGTCGGTCGATCCTAGTTCTACCGGTCGAAGGGCGCTCCTAGTAGGAATGCGCCAGATCCGGACTCGATTCCGGTTCGGATCCTACGGTAAGATTCGGGGGGATTCAATAAGAAAGACCCGAAGAAGCTCTCGCCGGAGGTATCTACTTCCGGAGGGATGACGTTTTTATTCTGCTAAGGGATGGAAATCCCGGAGGGTGACGTTTAAAAACGCGAGTAGTATCGGGAGAGAAAGAAAATGCCGGTTCCGGTTCCTCCGGAAAGGGCCGCGGGGATGGATCCGGGATGATTAAAGGGACGGAGCCGACGGGGCGGATCCCACGTTCGGAGAATGCGGGTTTTTCGTCCGGGGCGTTACCGAAAACGGCCGTTTTCCGACGGCTTCTCTAGTTAAATAACGATTTGTCAGGGGGTGGAAGAGAGGAGGAGGTAAATCCCCGACGATTAATTGACATTTACCACCATCGGACGCCACGGTCGTCGGTGGTGACGACACGATTCCATTTCCGGAGTTCTTCTTCCGGTGGAGGTTCCTCTTCCACCCCCGGAGAGGGAATGTCCGTCTCGTATAATGTGCGTGTAAAAAATTAGTCTTTTGGGGAGGGATATGACGCCTCCCCGAAAAAAATCCCTTGCCTGTGCCCCCGTTACCGTAAGTTTAGAGGAGCGGGAAGTGTAATAGGGACCGGGACGACCCCCGTTCTTCTTTCTGTTGGAAGTATTAGAAAACGTCTACACGGGACGAATGAATGCTGCCGTAACCTTTAATGTAATGAAGTTACTCCGAAGGTTACGGTTACTTTCTCTTGGCATCGTTTGAAATTTTGTGGCAGAGTAACTGGCACTTTAATTGTTTGGCCTCACCTATTGTCGTTGGCGCACGTTTACCCACGCCTTTACTACGGAGTAGTAAATTTTAGGGCACAAACCCGTTTCATCCGTAAAATTTTTTCGAAGCCAACGATTAAGGTAGGGAGAGGACCACTCCCTCTCTCGTGTTTAAACCTCCTCACCGAAAATTACGGGAACGAGTCGCATTGCAGGCCCTGTAAGTTCGGGGGGCCTCCTCTATTTGTTTATAGAATAGGGTTCGTCCGCCCAGGTCCGAAGTTTGGAGGCGGAGACCCGCTTAATAACGTGGTAGTTCGTGACGAAATGCCTGAAGGATTTCTTTTTATTTTTGAAGGAGTTCGCATGGCTCTCGAAGGAGAACGGAAGGTGGGCAGCAAAGCAAAAGGAGTAGGTTTCGGGTGAGTCTGGTGACACGGACCGGCAATTTAGAAAAGTAAAGGGCGTTAAAAAAGGAAATCCGAAGGTAACGATCCCCGCACCACCCTCTTAAGTCTGTAATTTGTCGGCCTAAACCGCCGTTTTGAGGGTGCCAATTGAAAAATGGCGGATCGTTCGGGGTGTTCTGAGATCTCCGATTAAGGTGGAGGCGAAAGAGGGGATCCTCTTCCGTCAGATACCCCCTTTTTGGCAATTTCGTCTCCTCCTCCCGGGACACCGTGGATTTTATCGGGAGGTAAGAGGGAATTTGTGAATCGCGCGCGGATGGTCGGAAAGAGGGGACCACCACCACTACCATGCCCGGGAACTTACCTACTTGGAATACTTTCAGGTACTCGGGAGCAGGCCTTCGTCTACGCCCTGGCATCGGCCGGTTTGGTCCACTCTCTGGCCAGGGCCTGCAGCGCCGGCGCCCTGAGCGGCTGCGGCTGTGGCCCGCTGCCTCGGGAGCCCCCCTCCGGGGATTTCCGATGGGGAGGATGCGGAGACGACCTCCGATACGGATTGCAGTTGGCCCGGCAGTTCGTCGAAGCGCCCCTCCGCGGTAAGGCCGCGGCCCGCGGGCCCGGCGCCGCCGTCGACCGCCACAATGGACGGACCGGAAGAAGGGTGAGTTGTTTTCCCATTCTTTCCGCCAGGGGGTAAAACGGTGCGGGAGATTCCGCCGACTCCTCCTTCGAGATCGATAAGCTCGGAAGAGAAGTGATCATTACGACAGAACGGTTTTCGTTTCCCACGTTGTAATTATCTCCCCGTTTTTTTGGCAGGTGGTGGCCACCAGTCTGAAGACGCAATGCAAGTGCCACGGGGTGTCGGGAGCCTGCAACGTCAAGACTTGTTGGAAGGCTCTGGCACCCCTACAATATGTGGCTCAGCGCCTGAAACTCAAGTACAAAGCGGCGGTAGAAGTGAGCGTGCGACATATGGGATCCAAGAAGAGACTAAAACCGGTCAGCGCCAGAATTGCCACCTTCGGCAAGGACGATCTGATTTATCTGACCAAATCTCCCGATTATTGTCTCCCGGATGCCAAGACCGGATCGGCGGGCACCCGTGAAAGGTAACAATTTCTTCGCCTCTAATTTCAAACGTTTTCATTGGATAAACTTTAAATATACCCACCGAATCGGCTCACACTTCTCAAGCCCACTTTCCACGCCACAAAGCACGAAGAAGGCACCATTTGCATTGTGATAAACACGAGATAACTTTACTGCTTGACGGATTCTAAGTTCACGCCAGTTTCTTCCATTACTTCCAACTGAAAAAAATGGGGGTTCTACTTCTAAACGTGTGTGGGGGATCCAACTTAGAAAAGGGAACGTTAGAGCAACGTGGCATCATCAATTATCGTACGTCAGAAACGGTTAACAAAGCGCATAGTCCATTAATTTTATTCTACTACAACCTGTTGGCAATGAGAAACGAACTCTTACCCGTTTAGAGGGGAAGTGATGACGCCACACAAAGTCACGTTTCCACAGTTACGTGGATGGCAAAAATGAAAATCCACACACGTTTTACACACGAAAAAACACAACTGACTGTGAAGTATTTGCCACACTTAATGCTATTCTGGGGCGAGACAGGCCCGAATGGGGTTCTACTTAGGGTAGGGGGTCCAACTGGATTGTTTTATTAAATTGTTCCCGTTAGGAAATTCCTTTCGGATATTGTGGAATATTGTTTCCAACTGTCTACGTGCGGAATTAAGTGTAGTCGGATCTCGGTCAAAGTAACACTTTGGAATATTAGACACTTGTACAGTATTGTACGTGCCGTTATTATATTACACGATTATTACGAACCAATGGCGAATTATATATTCATCGTCTACTTAAACGGGACTGAAATTGTCAAATTTTTTAATAAACCACTTACGTTTATAATGTACTGACGTCACAGAAGCTGTAACGTGTGTAGAGGAGTGAAATATTAACGACCGACGTTTATCCGGTTCGGTGTTTGTTGTTAAAAGTCCTTGGGAAACGAAGAATATAGTTCTTTTTAGATAAATTAGGGTGAGTTGTGTCCTTCTCAGTTAATTTTATTCCCTTTTTCTGATAATATTTACAATTTTAATAATCTCTCCTCCTCGATTTTTAAACACTAGATCAGTACTTATACACGTCTTTCGTCATTGTTCTTTCTTTTATGTTGCTCAATTCAAATTTCATCCTCTTCTAATTAAAGACTGAAGCTTGGAGTCGTATCTCGGCCTGATGACAATGCATTTTGTTGGTGTTTTAGGGGGTGAACACGCTCCCAACATCCACTAAAATTCGATAAACGTAATCAAATGTAGCATATAAACGTATGTTTAAATGCACTGTGATGAATATGGTGAGAGTGGTCTACCCCACATCCTCCAATCCTTAAGATGCCAATCATCCAATAAAAACTAATATTATGGATCTCCAAATTTCCCCAATGACAGGGGACCCCAAGCAATTGTATAAGGGCGTTATTCTATGGGAATCATTGTAATTATGCCATTGTACTTACTTTGGACCTATAGGAAACATAGGTTTGTTTGACCACACACCTCCTAAATGGGGAAACTGGCCCATTTAGGTGAAGAAAACTCCCATAGAAAACAAATAAAGAATAGAAGTATTCTTCTTAGATTCGCGTGGAGATGATGACGCACCGCCTTATCCTTTTATTGTTGAGGTAACGTTATACGAGTGAGGTCGAGTGCGGAAATCACCCTCTTTTCTTCTTCCGGTTGTTTCCACGTCTCGAGAAATCCGATAGCAACGAGCCGCCTCGGGTTTCTCCTCCATCAAAAGCAACGAAGCCAAACAAATCCCATTCTTGTTATACAAGTAAGCGTTTATAGCCAGGTACACACGTACCGGTTTACCTGTTCAGATATACCTGACAGGTAAACGTGTATACTGTCCATTTTAGAAAGAATTTCTTATTAAGGTGTGTCGTAGAGGTCGTCTGGGCGACAAATCTCGCCTACCTTGACCACCAATTCTCTACGTTGAAGCATTTAAAAGCTACGTGGTCCTTAAAGGTTCGTAAGAATTTTTAATTAATTATTTTAATTACCCGGAGTAGTAGGTAATAGACTGGAAATAATCGATTTATCTCCCCGAGGAAATTCCTCACCCCCATTAAAGCTATGTTTATTTAGCGATGAGGTGAGCAAAGAGGTGAGGAGAGCGGAGAAATCGAACTTGCTTGTTCTCTCCGCTCCCCTCTTCCTCGAGCTTGTGCGAAGGTTACACGCGCGATTGTTCTGGTCTATTGTCTCGCCGCTTTGCTCAACCCCCGTATTTGTTTCTTACGCCGAATACCGGTATACCTGAACGTGTAGATGAAAGAAAAATATTCATTCCTGGCCCGTATTAAGCATTACAAAACTACTGTAATTTTAGGTCAAAGGTCAAATATAATGAGGTTGCCCTTTATCTGGCATGATATTCTTTCTTACTCTCACGTAACTTGGTATCCTATAAGGGATGTTAATTTAAAGACAGTCGTTATACATATCTGTCCACGTGTTTCCGTTTAAATCGATAAAGGACACGAGTTAGGGTCGATTTTTGTTAATTAGTAGGCTTATATGTCAATGAAACACGTGGGAAATCTATCTCCCCGGAGGACCCTATTTTAAATGTTACAAACGTGAGAAACACCCGGAAAACTCCACGACTGCTCAGTGGTTTCGTCCGCTCAAGCATTTAACGTAGGGCCTTAGAATAATGACGTAAAAATTTCACCAAAAATGGAAACGGCGCTGTTTACGTCACCGGGGAGATTCCCTAAAATCTCTAATTATAAAGGGAATTTAGGGGGTTATTTTCCGATGAGGTCATCTATAATTAATTCGAGTGTGGACTATTGCCGTGGTGGCTGTTTATTTCGTTCCCTCAAAGTAGGTCGTCGCGTACAAAGCGATTTACGCCAAAATATTCGTGTAAAATCTAATTGCGTAATTGGACCGGCGCTCTTTTTATATATATAAATAAATAAATAAATATATATATATATATATCATAATCACTGAATCACTGCAAAAATGATATAGAGCGAAATGGATGCGTCACTACGACAGGTAGTACAGTACATAGCACTTGCCTAGTGAAGTTTAGTAGTCTTTTGCTCCTGTACAGTACATCGTAACTTTCCTGTTAACGATAGAACCGCGCCGGTTATGCATCGAACTCCATTCAGAGAAAAAATTTTTGAATTGAAATAACGTGACTTACGGTACAAATCGGAAGTTAATATATACAATAGTTAGTCTTGTGCTCTTTCTCTTACCATTTCTATTTCTCGTCTCGACTTTCATGTATCTAACTCCGTTTTCGAGTTTAAGAAAGGAATTAATATAATAGAAAAATTAGAAGTACGAAATAACCAATAATCTTAATCTTTGCTGTTGTTATTTTTTGCCTGAGCAGCGCTGGGCTCACAGTGCTAATTATTAAGAAAACAGATGTTTCTATCCATTTTATATAATTTTACAATTAATTAAGAAACTCATTAATTAACTAACGACTTTCTTACTTGTAATACTTTTATCAAAACAATAGGGGAGGAAGACAGACATAAAATATAAACGTATCGAGCATGTAACTTATATAAAGGATTACAATAACCTTTGCAGAATTTCCGATCAAAATTCTGGCAGGCGAAGGTATCGATAGATACGAAACACTACAATCTTCC